AGAAGCATCATTTTAAGGGAGTAAACCACTGTCCAAGTTCACCTGCCCTAGACTCTACCAAGATATATCAAGCAGGAGGTGATGCGCCAAGCACTAAGCTTCTTAAACAGAGAGGCTCTGCTGTGCTGTAAAAATAGCTGGTGTACAATGAAATTGTAATACTGTAACTCAAATGTCTTCAGTGGGAGTATATTGCATGGGAATTATTTTCTTTTGATAAAAAATCACTATGGTTTATGATTTTACTCATCTTTTTGAGATCATTTTAGATTCACATGAATTATAATAAATAATATTTTTTTATCTTTTCCCCAGTTTCCCACAATGGTAACATCTTGCAAAACTGGTGTTGGGTAAGTTGAGATGTGGCACATTTCTGTAGCCACAAGGGTCCCTTTTACCAGGTTGCCCTTTTATCCATCCTACCTCCACACCCACCTTCACCCTTGGCAGCCACTGATCCGTTCTCCACTTCTATAATTTTGTCATTGAATGAATGATATAGAAATGGGATCAGACATCATGTCACCTTCTGTGACTGGGTGTTTTCACTCTGAGCAGTTAATTCCCTGGAGATCTATGCAAGCTGTTGGGTATCCCAGCAGTCGGCTCCTTTGCCTTGCTGAGCAGTGTGGAAGTGCCACTGTTTGTTCAGTCATCTCGCCATTGAAGGACATCTGGGTTTTGATTATTACAATGAGAACTACCATGAATGTTGATGTACACGTTTTTGTGTGAATGTTTCCATTTCTTGGGAACAAATGCCCAAGAGCACAATTGCTGTGGTGATATTGCCACTTTGTGGCAGTATTCTAAATAGCCCCCATCTCTCAAAACCACCCTTTTCATCTTCTAGAACTTGCAGTTTGTCATCAGCAAGGTCCCTTATATCCTCCACCTCTGAACTTCTGGCCTTCATTTCTGTGCCCTAATACTCTAGTAGTTGCATATTTAGATGTATAAGAAATTGCCAAACATTATTCCTGGGTGGCTGTACATTTTACATCCCCAGCAACAATGTGTAAGTGATCCAGCTTCTCCGTACCCCTGCCTGTGTTTGGTGATATCACCATTTTGTATTACAGCGGATAGCTATGCCATGATTCACTTTTAATGAACACAATGATCCAAAGATGAAAGGGAAAGACCCCCGAAAATAGCCAGGAACTTTAAAGTGTTTTCCTAGCCCCTTGTGGCTATTTCAAGGTACACAGTAAATGGGCCTCTGCCCTAACTGAAGTACTGGGTAGAAATGGAAGAGTACTTTGTCACTGTAGTAGAGAACAGCTACCACACTCCAAGAGTAAACAGCATGCTCCGTGAAATTCCAGAAGCATTAGCTTCAGTATTCTAAGCGCAAAGCAGGCACAGCACTTCTGGTCAAACTTTTATTGACAGTACTAGCAAATATAATCAAATAAGAAAAAAGGCAAGAGTTATAACAATGATAAAGGAAGAAAAGGATATTTGCAGAAAAGATAATGAGATTGTCTACTACACTCTCAAAATTAGGAGAATCCATAAACTGTAAAGATTTATAAGTTAGTGCACCAGGTTGTTGGACCCAATCATCAGAAAACCAGTAACTTTCCTAGACACCAACAACAAACAATGAAAATGTAAATTCTGAATAATCCCGTTCCTTATAGGAACATAAGTATCTTGGAATCAACCTTTTCAAATGCACAGAAAAACATGGAAAAAATGACACTTAACCAAAAAACATAAGAGATATTAAATGATGAGAAATACCACATTTACAGTTAAGAAGACACAACATTTTTAAAATGTCTCCTTTCCCCAGATTAATCTATAAACCTGAAGCAGATTTAACCAAAATCCTAACAAGATGTTTTAGGTTTTGTTCTTTATTTTCAGAAAAGGCTCTTTTAAAAATGCATGTGAAAAGCAGCTCGTCCCAGCTGGCTTTGGGGCCCATGGCCTCCAGGACAAATGGTGGGCCCTGCAGTCAGGACAGCCTCAGTGCTGGCCCCTCCTTAGTGATGCAGGAAGTTCTACTTCCTGTCAAAAAAAATACATATACAAGAGTAAGGGACCAAAAACAGCCAAGACACCTTTGCATGCTGGATGAAGAAGCTGCCCGAAGCTTTGAGCAATCATTCTGTGGATGGCAAAGTCCCATTCCCGGCTCCTCTAGCAACTGAAAAGCAGAGGTTCCCAAGTTCAAGGCACTCCAGGGCCAGCCCTGCAGCATCCGACCCACCCTCTCCTCGCAACACTGACATCCTCACCACCTCTGTCTGCCTGTCTGCCTGTCTGCCGGGGTGGCCATCCAAACCGACCATACGAGGCCCTACACCCAGACTCACTGAGTCACCCCAGGGAGCCCACACTACCCAGGTCCTCCCTCTTCTTCATACAGATGTAAATATTCTAAATAGCCCCATCCCTTAAAACTGTCCTTTTTGTCTTCTGGAACTTGCAGCTTGTCATCAGGAAGATCCCCTATGTCCCCCACCTCCAGACTTCTGGCCTTCATTTCTCTGCCCTTATGGCTCTGTTTCTCATTGATCTCAGATCACTGTCCCTCCCGACCCCCTAAAACCTCTTGCTTTCACCTGCATGCCATCAACTGTACGACTGCAATGTTAGTCTTAAAACAAAACATCTCTGGAATTCATATCCTCCTCCAGAGACCACACGATTTGCTCTCCCCCTTTTCTACAAAATTTACTCAAAAGAATTTTTTGGACATGCTGTTCCTGTTACCTGTCCTCTTTGTCTGTCTGGAAACTGCTCTATAGACATTCATCCCAATGACGGTACAAAACAGCCCTTTTCAAGGTCACCGATGATGTCCACATTGCTAAGTCAAACAGTCGGTTCTCAGGCCTGGTCTTTCTTGAGCTCTCAGCAGCACTGGGCACAGCTGGACACTCCCCACTCCCTGCACATCTGCCCCCACACTGAGATACTGAGCATCTCTCTCGGGGTCTCCTCTGACCTTGCTGACCATCCTGTCAGCCCCATTACTGCTTCTCTAATCTCCCTGACCTTGAAATATTGGAGTGCCCAGGACCCAGTCCAAGGACCCCTCTCTTTTCGGGCTGTCTACATAATTTGTAAAACCCAGTGCAGAATGAAAACGCTGGTCCCTTGTCTAAAATGTATCACGGCTTCCAATATAGTAGCAGCAGAGCATTAAAGCAAATGTAGGCATTTTACATGAGCCAGGACCAGTGCATGGTCACTAACCCATGGAGCCTTCTGCTGTGGACTTTTGAGTTTATTTTGTCTAGAACACTCCCTGAACTCTCCACCAGTGATTTTCAACCTTCTTCATCTCGTGGCACATATAAACTAATTACTAAAATTCTGCACCACACCGAAAAATATTTATTTTGGCCAATCTGACAAAAATAAATAGGTGTAATTTTAATTCAGGTGGCTATTGTCGTTTTTTATTTAACAATCTTAAGGAAAAGAGGTCAGTGCCCCTGACTAAAAAGTCAGGTACTGCACATTTTTAAAATTCTTGCAGTACCCTAGTTGAAAATCGCTGCTCTAGGCTCATAAATCCAATTGTCTACTATCTCAACCTGGCCCTTGAGTGTATGCACTCCATGTGTTCAAAACCAAACATCTGACCTGCACCTTCCTCCCTCCGCAAAAAGGGAACACTGCTCTTTCTGCGTCTTTCCCAACCCAGCAAACGGCACATTCTCCCAGTTTCTCAGCCCAAAACCCTCCATGCCGTCTTACATTCTCATCTTTTACTTAAGTCCCTCATCCAAGTCATGAGCGAATGCTGTTGGCTCTACCTTCAGACATATGGAGGACGTGCACACTCCCCCTCCCTCCCCCTGAGCATCGCCACGGGAACCATCTGGCACCCAGATCACTGCCGTCCCCTCCCACTGGGCTCAGCCCTTGCTCCCCACAGTTTAGTCTCAACCCATTGGCACCCCTTCCCCGCCCCCCCGTGATCCTTCTACACTGGGGGTCCCCTCAAAATGAATTTGAAGGTGACCTTACATTACTAAAATTTAAGAAACACTGCTCTAAATTACCTGACAAGGTGTTTCCCTCTTAGCTTACCCAACTATACAGAAAGGCAAGTCACTGGTTTTTATACACCTGTTTTCTCAAACCAAGAAACGCAAAAATTTACAAGTGACGTCAGCTCCAAATCACAAATTCTGTACCTTGCTCACGTCAAACATCTACCTACAAACTTGCCGAGAGTCCTGAAATGGTAAGAAAGCTTATTGTTTTTGAAGCTCCCCTTTGGTTTTTCTTTATCTAATGGTCTGGGGAACGCATCCTGTATCATAATCACAGAACATCCAACTCAATCAGCAAGACTACAGTTTCTAAATATGTAAAAAATAAATAAGTTAACAAACAAACAAAATCCAGGCGTGAGTGGTGGGGGGATGCCGTCTGTAGCACCGGGTGGATCGGGCAGCCACGGAACGTGTGCGGGGCCGGAGGTGGCCGCGCGGTGCCAGAGCGCGAGGCCCTGGGCCCCGGGAGCGACAAACACTCGTGTGACCCTCCGGGCTCCGTTCGAGCTCTGCGGCACACACCGCACACCGCACACCGCACACCGCACACCGCAGCGGGAAAGGCGAAAGCGTCTCCGCGCCCGCCGACTGTGCCCACCACCCTCGGGGAACGGCGGGCGCCGCGGCCGCCGCGCGCAGCTGGGAAGGTCGCCCCGCCCCCCGCGCGCAGCGCCGCCTCTCCGCCGGGAGCGGGGCGGGGGGCGGGGGTAGGCGCGCGTTCGCGCACCCGCACTGGGCGCGGACCCAGGTCTCCCAGGCGCTCTCCCCGCCCCCTTGGCGGCCGTCGGGCGGTCCGACGTCCGGCTGTAGTGGCGCCCAGCCCCCCAGGCGAGGGCGCGCCGAGCTCTGGCGGGTCCGGGGGCCGCAGGACCCGGGGGACGGCGAGGCCGGAGGAGGGCGGGGCGGTGTCCCCAAACCGCGCCCGCGCCCGCCCCCCCGACCCTTCCCCGCCCCGCGCGCGTCCTCTCTCACCCACGGACGAGCGGATCCTGGACCTTCGCGGCAAGGACATCTTAAGAGCTCTGTCCGGGCGGGAGCCGTTCAGCATCTCGCCCCACTCGGGGGTCGACGCAGCCCCCGGCGAGTGGCGGCGGAGGCAGCGTGCAGGCTCGGGCGCAGGGCCGGCGGGCCGAGGGCCATGGGCGGACGCCGGCCGGGGTCCGACTGCGGGCGCGGCCGGGCTGCGGAGGCGGCTGGGAGCGCGGGCGCCGGAGGCTGCGTGTCGGTGCGGCAGCGGCCGGCCAATGCGGCGGCGCCCGCGATCGCCTCGCTGCGGCCCCGGCGGCCCGGGATGCGGCGGTGGGGGAGGGGTCGGGTCTCGAGCGGGGAGCCGGCGGGCGGTGGCCAGGGGCTGGGAGGAACCTGGGATGTCGTGCAGTGCTAAGGGCTTTGGTGGCGGAGAAAGGTGACCGGGTGGGATTGTTGGGATGGGGGGAGGGTTGTATGAACAGGCGTCAGGGGCACTTGCAGGAGAAGAGACGGGCGTCCCTCGGGCTACCTTTTTCTGTCTGTGCCTCTCTGGTACCTGTTTTACCAACCTGTCAGTTGTCAATGGAGTGCAAGTGTCTCCTAGGAATAATAGTTCAGAACTCATAACTCTCCTTTTTCCAGTATCTGTTCTTCCATGTCATTTTGGTGGGATCGGTGTATGTTCTTCACAGGGACATTATTTCTCAAATGTCTGAGGTATAGCCTGGAAAAGTGCCTGGGTCTCCAGACTCCTCCCCCACAGCCTGCCTGGAAGCCTAACTAATGGCATGTTAAAGCTGTAAAAAACCCTAGGGAGCACTTACCACACACACACCACACACACACGTAGGTACGCACCCCAGCACACTCACACCTTCTTCCATAAACAAAATCACTGAAAGGTGAGGTGACTTGTCCAAGGTCACTTGATCTGTTTTTGTTTTTACTTTTTAGTTAATGTTCTAACTGCGATTCATTCTTCTGATCACAGTTCCATAAAGAAAAAAAAACCTGTATGTTTTTAATATCTGAAGAAATTATGACTTCGGAGTGAAAGATTGAGTCAGACTGCATTTGCTGCTGTGATCAATACGCTGCATGTAACATGCACTTCCGGGACTGACAAGGAGGAGAGCAGAGATGAGCAGGAAGAATCAGGGCAAGGAAGACAAAGCACTACAGCCTCCAAACTCCTCCCTGCCAGCCTCTCTGTGGAGGATTTTTTAGGAAAACAGGCAGGAGGGAGGGCCATCTTGCTTTGTGAGCTGTAGGCTGGCAATTTTAGCTTCAAGTGAGATTCCTTGCCTGTCTATTCTGGGTCCACAAAATAAATATTTCTGATAAGAAATGAGTCTTGAGCAGGCAGTTGGGCCTTCATAGCTGCCAAGAGCGATCTCTCAGCTAGTTGATCTTAGCAATGAGTTTGCAAAAACTTTGTCACTAATGAATCAGTAAACTTTTGTATTGATAATAACCCCTTGAGGACCTAAGCAGAACGGAAGGAGACTTGAGTGAAACTCCAACTTTAAGGTAAATAGAAAAAACTTTTCCATAACTAGATGGGAACAGAAAAAGTAGATAGATGTCATTTTTAATTTTTACAAACAAGGCTGATTATGTTAAATACAGGACATTTGCCACCCACCACAAATTGATGCAGTAATACTACCCTGATTCATTGTAATCCCAACCACATCGTGAAATGGGGTTGTTGCTCCTGCTTTCATATGTATCTTCCAATAATCAAAACTGCCCTGACAACTTCATAGGGTGTTAAGATATTTCAGTTGTACACCTTGAAGATAAGAGAATAGATGTCAGAAGTGGCAGGTGGATGTCTCACTTGAACTTGTATCTCACTGATTGTCATGGTTAATTATCCTGATCTTAAGAAGTTAGATTATTACTAGCATGGTATTTGACCACCAAATCCAGACCTAAATCCTACCTTTGAGGTCTTTGAGGGATATATCTGCCCAAAGGACAAAAGGTAGCAAATGATCAGTATTTATTATTAGCCTGAAAATCCAAATGTCAGGCTGGATCATTCAAGAACATATGCCTGACCTCTCAAATCCTTTCCCCTTGTTAGAGACTACCTAGGCTAACATGGAGGGAGACAAAGTAAAGCAAATGCATAATGCAGAGCAACAGGGATGGCCAAAGAAATGTACTTTGTCTCTACCGTCATGGATGCAAAAACTTCTCAAGAAAGAGAGTCTGCTTCAGTTTCCTAGAGCTACCACTCTGGGCATTCATAGAAGCAGCCTGCAGAAGAAAGAATTCCTGAAGAGACAGCCAAGAAGGGTACACACCAAATCTGTAGTACTGTGGGTTGGTACATAGTGAGCTAAGGCAGAGCAGCCCTTTTCTTCCTTAGAAATGAAGTGGAGGGAAAAGAAGGATTAGAGTTGTCTTTCCCTGAACACTAACACACTAACTGTCTCTATCCTCTCACTAACCTGTGCGCCCCTTTCTCTCAGCAATAAGATCAGCCAAGACACATCCAGTGTCCCAGAGAGAGGACCCATGCCCTCCGTGCTGTGACTGCAGAAAGACTGACTCTACTGGTCTCCAAGCTTTCCAAGGAAATCTGCACAACTTCTCTTGAGAGCACACTCCAGTGTTCAAGAAGTAGGGTTTCCAAGCAGTTCTTCCTATGACCATCTTAAGTTTCTTCTATTTTTTCTATAATATTTTTTATTTTTAGAGTGAGAAGAGAGGAAGACAAACATTGATGTAAGAGAAACATCAATTGGCCGCCTCATGTACGTACCCCAAGCAGGGATCAAACCCTCAACCTTTCAGTGTTCGGGAGGATGCTCCAACCAACCGAGCCACACCAGCCAGGGCAGATTTCTTCTATTTTGATTTAAGCCCATTTTTCCTTGCTTAATCATCATGGTTCTAGAAACAGCCAGCTTACACCCTTCTCATGAAGTTCTTTCATACAAACGAAGACTTTAAGTCATTTTAAGCCCTCTTTTCCTCAGACTAAAACCCCATTTCCTTTTTAAAATGTTTGTACATACATACCTTTTATATATGGATACATAATGTCTATACATAAATAAACATTGTTTAAAAAGGAAGTGACATATATAGTGCATATAAAATGGTGTAGATAAGCATGTAGCTGTCATCTGTGTACCCATTCCAGCTTAGGACACAAAACAATATGGACACATTGGAGGCCACTAACCCTCCATCCCTTTTTTTTTACCTCATACCACAGACCAGTTTTCTTTCAGGCTTTCTTCATAGGGCTTCTTTCCTCTTGTTCTTATTTACAAACAAACAAACTAAAAAGCAACCCTGACAGTAGCAGGCAAAGGATCCAGGGAGGAAGATCAGTTAATGGAAATTTTTATTCTTCTGCAGTGGTCTTATTCAGCATTCTGTAAATGCATTTCGGTAACCCTTTTAATGCTCCTCCAAATTCTTCTATTCTTACACATTGTTTTTAGAAAGCATCATCCCAAACTGAACATAAAAGAAATATTCAGTATAACTCAATATCTATATTCCTAATGACAAAAGGGACAGCCATCCCAGACCTAGTCCCCATCAATTATTCATTCATTTGCTAATATTTTGCCTGGCATGTGATGCTGGCTGCAACTGGAATTTTAGCTGGTGCTATCCTCTGGAATACCTTCACATGGACTCTCCAGGTAGCCTGGGCTTCCTCGCAACCTGTATGCTGGATTCAAAGGGTCCCAGGAGACAGAGCCAGGTGGAAGCTATGTCACCTAACCTAATCTTGGAAATCACAGTGTCACTTCCACCACATCCTGATTGTTCAGGCAGCCTCAAAGGCCCAATGAGTCAAATAGATTCCACCACTTGATGGTAAAGTGGCAAAATTCTGGAAGAACATTGGAAACACTGTTGCAGCCGTTTTTGCAAATACAATCTCCCAGAACTAGCAAAAATAATTTTGATTTTAATAAACTTATAATTGCACCAAAATCATAACAATATGTATAGAAAATTAATGAAAGCTGTGCAAGACCTTCATGCTAAAAGCAAAGCATTTGGGCTCTCACAGAACAAAACTGAAGTAGTTGCTCTACCAGATCTCGAGTTTTATAGCAGTACTATTACTAATCAAGACACGGTGACATAGATATGTGAACAGATCATTGAAACAGAATAGAGTCCAAAAAAGATCCATGCACATATGGTTAAATAATTTCAATAAAGGCAATAAACTAATTCAACAGGGAAAATAGAGCCTTTTCTTTTACTATTACTGATTTATTACAAAGTTTATGGTAAAGGATGCAAATGAAAGCCAGATGAAGAAATACGTGGGCAAAGTCCAGAATGGTTCCAACCACAGGACCTTCCCTCCCCATGGAGGCATGTGCATCACCTTCCCAGCATGTGCTTGAGTTCACTGACTCGCTGACTCGGGAGCTCTCTGAACTCCTTTCATGTGGGTTTCTATGGAGCCTTCATTACACAGGCATCGTTGATTTCACCATTGGCAAATAGTGACCAACTCAAGCTCCAGCCCTTCTCTCCCTCTCTGAGTCTAAGTGTAGGGGGCTGAAATGTCCAACCCTCTAACCACCTGGTTGATTCCCCTAACAACCGGTTCCCTCTCTATAGGGGCTTTCCAAAATTCACCTTATTAATGTAATCTCAGACGTTTAAAGGAGCCTGTTATGAGTAACAAAACATACTCCCTATATGCTCCAGAAATCACAAGGGTTTTAGCAGGTTTGTGCCAGAGACTAAGGATGGAAGATCAAATGTCTATTTCATATCATCTCACCATATCATTGGTGTTGCGTGGGCAGCCGTGGCCCTGCTCTGCCACCCTCTCTTAGAAGGAACCCCCATGTTGTCACTGCCCACAGGGAAAGGTGAGGACCAACATAGCTGCAGTCACCTTCTTAAGGTTTCCTGAAAGTCAGCAAATGGTGCGGCCGTGAATAAAGCTGGTTTTGATTTAAACTACTTAACCGTTAATGGCACCAGCAGCAATTTATCAAAGGTGAAACTGCTTCACTTTGATCCAGCTCTGTAGACCATAGTTTAGCACCATAAAGGGGAAGAGATCATAAAATGTATTCTGTTCCTCTTTTCTCCTATGAAAGTATACCTAGCAGTTTCAAATCA